CATTTTTTCGCATACTAAATGGTTTACGGGCAAAAAAATAAATTATTCTTCCTTGCCGATTAGGTACACATAATTAGTATAACAGTTACCAAAAACGATCGTCATTTTTGGCGCATTTTTTGCAAAAACTCTTTTTTTATCAATAAGCAAAGCTAAGCAAATATGAACAAAAAATTTAATAAAAAAAAAAATTTTTTCAAAAAAAAAAATTTTTATTTTCGAAAAAAAACATTTTTTCATTTTTTTCGATACTATTTAATATATTTTTTTAATATTTCGGATTATTTTTTAATCTTCAATTTTTGTGACTAGTTTGTACAAGTTACATAAATTTAACAGAAAAAAAATATACAGCGTGTTCCAAGGAAGCGTCCCCCCCCCCTCCCGAACGCGTTCGCCTGGTAAAACAAATTTCTCCCGAACTACCTAACGGCGGGTTTACATTATCGCGGACAAGACGGAGTGGATATGTAATTCTCGAGAAACAAAACAACTGTAATAACATCCAGCGACGTGTTCTCGGGGGTGCACTTCGATCGGCCCGGTGGTTTCCTTTAACACAAATCGCGAACGTGACGCGGCTGGCACGTGGACTCCGCACCGCAAACTGGTGTGTCGGTTCTGAGGCACCATCCATCACTGCGCTACTCAACGCCAACGCCGAGAACCGTGAAACGGGGGCCTGGGTTTATATCATGTTGTTTTAAAGTGTCTGATTTCGCCGATAAAAAATAGTTATTCGCAGCCCTGAATAATAAGTCTAGCGGGGAAAGTGGTTTACGACGGGACAAGCCTTTGTGGTGGTGTCCCGTACCTTTACTCCTAAGCTACGGATCCTAGGAAGAAACAGACTTTAGAAATGTACGTAGGAGGGGGTCGGAGTCGTCTAGAATTCTTCCAGACAAATGAAAATTGTAGCCAAATATGTTCAAATGTCCATAGTCGAAGAATATATGCCACAGAAAAAAAATTACAATAATTAAAAATATCAGTGAATATCAACAAAAAAAAACAAGATTGTAACAGCGCCATCTCTTGATTTTTCATTTAATAAATAACTAAAAAAAATATTATTTTTAAAAAGTAACACTTAAATGACAGTTCATAGTTATTTACGTCAACCTAAACTGAATAAAAATCTGAAAATAATAGTTATTTATCGTATAAGTGTTTTAAGTAGCATTTTATCCAAAAAAAAAAGGCAATTAAAACACGAATGCAATACAACGTTGTATCCATAATCACATCACAATCATATTTGTGGAGTCAGAATTACTGGAATTTAATAATAAAAATATTCGCACGACTTGATACTTCTTACTAGTACTCGATGAAATGACTGCTCCAACCCAATCAAATTTTTCACTTAGGTTTAAAACCAAAATATTTATATAAGTATCTTTCGTTTGTTGATTGATATATTTCCATTAGTATGTATTTAATAGACCTAATCTCTTCAAACGGACATCAGATTCGGATTCAACGACCCCCAAAACGTATAGATATGTAAGTTTACTTTGTTTTCAATTGATTCTCCACATTTGACCTTGAACTGACCTCAACCCAGATCTGATTGAGTCAAACGGACATCAGATTCGGAGTCGGCGACCCCAAAAACTTATAGATATGTAGATTTACTTTGTTGGCAATTGATTCTCTACATTTGACCTTGAACTGGACTTAAACCAGATCTGATCGCGTCAAACGGACACCGGATTCGGATTCGGCGAGCCCAAAAGCGTATAGATAACGAGCGTTCAAATAAAAACGTGGTCAAGTTGGTTCTGAAAATTTGAACGTAGGGCGTAGCGTATAGCAAATGAACTTAAACGTCATCTGTCAAAGCGCTATATCGCCGCTATCAATTTGAATATTTTCGTTTTAAAAAGCGTTTAGAATGGTGTTTTCTCAAGAACAAAAAGTGTTTATCATAGAGTCCTACTTTAGAAATGGACGCAAGATTGATGGAATATGGAAGTATTCTGTTGAGGAATGTTTCATAGAATTTCAAAATCAATTTCCCGGCGTTGTTGAGTACAAAATTTTTCAAAGTGCAGTTCAGCGTTGTGTTAATGTTTTTCGTGAAACGGGCAGTGTAACAAGAAAAGAAGGAAGCGGCCGACCTAAAAAGCGGACTGAAGAATTAAAAGAAAATGTCCAACAAATAATGGAAAATGCGACAAGAACTTCTGTACGTGTTTTATCACAAATGGTGGGAGTATCAGTCGGTACCTGCCACACAGTGTTAAAAAAAGATTTTCGTTTGTTCTCCTATCGTTTAACTTGTCAGCAAGAACTTCGTGAAGTTGATTTTCCGCGACGGGCTGTATTTTGTGAATGGTTTTTAAACAACTACGGTGAACTTCAAAATATCACCTATTTTTCTGATGAAGCCTGGTTTCATTTAAGTGGTTACGTAAACTCACAGAATATGAGAATGTGGTCTTCTGAAAAACCAGATAACTTTTTTGTCGAGGCCCCTCTACACGCTCAAAAAATTGGAGTTTGCTGTGCTCTCAATCGAAGGAGGATTTATGGACCTATTTTTGTTAATGGTACTCTTACTGCGCAAAGGTATAGAGAAGAAATTATCGCTCCTTTTGTTAACCAGCTGGAAGAAAACGAAATTACAAACTTTTACTTTCAACAAGATGGCGCAAGGGCACATACGGCAGGCGAGACGATGAATATGTTGAGGGAAGTTTTCCAAAATCGACTAATAAGTCTCAATGCTGAACATGAATTTCCACCGAGGTCATGTGATATTACGCCGTGTGATTTCTTTTTGTGGCCTTACCTTAAAAACACTATTTTTGAACTGCCTATTCCTGATTTAAACCATCCACAGGCTCGACTTATAGACAAGATTCGTGAAATTAAGAATACCCCGAGCATCTTAGAAAATGTCTTTAATTCTTTGAGGAACAGGTGTAAAAAGTGCTTGGAACAAGGAGGGGGACACTTTCAGCAGCTGCTTTAATTTATTGTTATAACAAGGAGGGGGACACTATCCGCAGCTCCTTTAATTGTTTGTTATTGTTATCACGATTATTCTTTAAAATAAAGTTATATAGTCATTAATGTTATTGAAACTGACAGCTGCTATACAGCTCGTTGAGAAATGAGGTTAAGTTGGTCGCTATAAGCTACTCCCTACGTCCAATGTGTCAGAACCAACTTCGACCACGTTTTTATTTGAACGCTCGTTACATAGGTTTAGTTTGTTGACAATTGATTTTCTACATTTGACCTTGAACTGACCTTAAACCAGAGCTAATCGCGTCAAACGGACACCGGATTCGGATTCGGTGACCCCCAAAACGATACATAGGTTGAAAAGTGGATACATAGGTTTAGGTTGTTGACAATTGATTTTCCACATTTGACCTTGAACTGACCTTAAACCAGAGCTAATCTTGTCAAACGGATACCGGATTCTGATTCAGCGACCCGGGAACCTTATGGATACCATGGTCTTGTCTTTCGGACTTGCCACTTTTTTTTTGTGGAGCTGTATTATTTAATAATTTGAATTTGGTAAAAACGCAAGAAAGTAATTGTGTTCCTACGGCTGTTTTTGAAGAAGCTCAAGAAGCAATTTTCCATTTATTGCCAGCGAAATCCAGGGAACATTACGAAAAAGTGTCCGCCGAATTTAACGAATGGAGGGAAAAACGTATTTTTTAAATTTGAAAAAAATATATATGCAATTTCATCCATGAGGTCGAAGTATTCGATGTTGAAGGCTACTATAAAGGTCTACAAAAATATAGATATTGGAAAGTATAACAAGCTTACTGCTTTTGGAAAGAGCATTTCTCGAGTTTAACTATTTTATTATTATTTTACATTACCGCATAGCGAACTTACCATACTTAAAACAGTGTGCGTAACTTTACTTATCGTACTTCAAGCAAATACTCCATTTCAATTCTTGGTAGTATATCCCGATATGCATATTGCGCATTATTTTTACTTTTTAATTTGCCGGTTGAGGGCCTCCTGTTCAGTCAGCTTTAAAAATGTACATTTCAATGAACGGCTAGAATAATAACGTGCGATCACACAATTCAGCCCGTTCGTCGGACTCTCGGGTTACAATCATTACGGAGTGCCTGGCTGGCGGGAGAAAATCGCACAAGTCGAGTCGAGCCCGGTCTATTCCCCCGGGCAAACAACTCAAGATTGAATATGAAAATTTAATCAGGTAATTTCATAGGGGATGATGCTTGAGTACTTGGCGCTGAGAAATTGCATTTGTAGCTGCTCCTTTACTTACTCTTCTAAACCTTTACAACACCGGCTTAGTTGGTTTTAAATGTAATTATCAGCAAACTAGCTTATCTTCCAATTTGTCTTCAGCCCCGTCCGCGAGAATGAGAAATTTTCATTCATGACTGCGATTAGCAATTAGCCGGAGTCCTCGGTAAAACACCGGATTAATCGAAAATTACCCGTCACGTCAGGTGCGACTATTAAATATTGAATTCAATTTGTACTTTCCAAATCGAAATGTCAAGCCATGAACGAGTAAGGATTATACAGCGTCTCCGAATAGGTGAAACGAGGTAAAATCCGGTAAACCTTGAAATTTTGTTTTAGTAAAATGTCATTTCTGTATGAGATACCAAAAAATGTTTTTAAAACGGAGAGCTGAAAATTTGTACAGAGCTTTATAATGTCCTAAACTTACTTTAATATTTTGTTTGATTTTGGATTTTGAAAACCGTATCAGCGGGGTCCAGCGATAGTCCCGCTGGACCCCGCTCTATCCAAGGTCAATTTTCCTGCCAAGGATTTAAACATTCACGTTTTAAATTTGGAATCTACAAAATAAAAAAAATCCAAGTGCTTCTTTGCCCATTCATATAACGCATTTTTCAAGAGCCAACGACACGTATAAAAAAAGGCCCGCCTAACAGCGAACGTCAATTCTCTCCGATACCATCTCAATTTCCCCTAGTGCCGCTTCTTTTCAACCCATTTTCGCGTCCTTTCAGGTATGGATCGGTCGTACAGGTCAGACGATACGGAGGATGCCGTGACAACAGATAATCCAACCACCCCCTTCCCCACGCCGCCCCCCACATTAGTATCGCCGAGATCGCCGATACCACTTCATAGGCAAGCCTCACCTTTCCCACTGGAAAACACCAACTCCAGGAAAATCCACTACCAGACCCCGCAGGATAGGCTGCGAGGGAGCAATGGTACGTTGAGGAGGCCAGGACACTGTTCAATTCATTTGTTATTGTTTCTTACAGGGGAAATTATATACGCCAGCAATAAGAAGAACCTGTCGAATAGCACCCTGGGTCGGTCGGGTCGAAGCAGGCACAGGGTCGGAGGGATGACTTCCAGCAGTAGCGCAACGTCCTGCAATAGTTGTACGGACAACATGTTAGCTCCGAACGGTGACATAAACTACCACGAGAAGTCGCAACAGCAGAGGATGTGCATAAACAACGGTAAGTGAAGCCGTGGCCTTGTAAGCAAGCAATGTTGTCCATTATTTATCTATATCTATCTCTGTCTATCTAAATATATCTATACATTTGTCTGTCTGCTTTAAAATACACCTTTGTAGCTCTGTTTATCTCTACGATTATCTGTTTGTCTAACAGGAATTATCAATTTGTCTGTGCACAATATCTATGTAATGTATCTATCAATATCTGGAATTTTCATGTACATCTACCCAGATATGTCATCTGTATACAATATATGTACAAATGTACATATGTAGTCTATCTATTTTTATGTTTAGTGTGAATCAATATCTATGTAAGTCTACTGGACTGGTGTAACTCTATTTACCTATACGTTTTTCTATTTGTCCATCGTCTACCTCTATATAAATATCTATTTGTTTGTGTCCAATATGTCTATCTCTCTACCTGTCAGCCTTTACCGTCTGTGCATATCTTTCTCTATTGATGCAATTGTCTCTATGGTAGGTATGAATTTGAATAGGTAGTATTTATGTAATTATCTATTTATCTGTATCAATATTAGTGCAAGTATGTCAGTGTAATTATAGTTTTGTTGATATCTGTGTACGTCTGTCCATAAAATTGTCTGTAGATGTGTACATATTTACATCTATTTATGTCATACCCTGTCTTGTGTCAACAGCTGTTAAGTTTAGTTCTTTGAAGGTGTATTTTTCTGTATGCTTGTCTATTTGTCCATAATCTGCATCTATATAATTATCTATCTATCTATCTATCTATCTATCTATCTATCTATCTATCTATCTATCTATCTATCTATCTATCTATCTATCTATCTATCTATCTATCTATCTATCTATCTATCTATCTATCTATCTATCTATCTATCTATCTATCTATCTATCTATCTATCTATCTATCTATGTCAATATCATTGTAAATCTGTCGTCGTAATGCTATTTATAAGGACTCCAATATCTGCCGTCTGTACATACGTGTACACAAAGATATCTGTATCTATGTATATCTGATTGATGTCAGTATCTATGTACGTCATTCACAACAGATCTCGTTATCTGTACAATTGTATGTTTGTCCATCGTCTGCATGTCTGTAATTATCTATTTTTCTGTATCGGTATCTATGTACGTCTGTAGATGTCATTGGAGACCTCTCTGTATGTATTTGTGTACCTGTTTGTATCTATTTGTCTTTATCTATGCCTACTTCTGTCTGTCGTCATGTGTTCATATGTACACACCTATTATACTTTTGTTGATATCTGTGTACGTCTGTCCATAAAATTGTCTGTAGATGTGTACATATTTATATATATTTATGCCATAGTCTGTCTAGTGTCAACATCTGTTAAGTTAATTAGATCTTTGAAGGTGTACTTTTCTGTATGCTTGTCTATATCTGCATCTGCATCTATCTATATCGCAATATCAATGTAAATCTGTCATTTTAGTTCTATTTATAAGGAGACCTATATATTTGGCTCTCCATATGTGTCGTCTGTACATACATGTACACATATGTGTATCATCTATGTATATCTGATTGGTGTCAATATCCATGTACGTCATTCAAAACAGATTTCGTTAGCTGTACAATTGTATGTTTGTCCATCGTCTGCATGTCTGTAATTATCTATATTTCTGTATCGGTATCTATGTACGTGGATGTAATTGGAGGCCTATCTGTATGAGTTTGCGTACCTGTTTGTATTTATTTGTCTTTGTCGATGCCTACCTGTGTCTGTAGACATGTGTTCATATGTAGATATGCATATATCAGCAGAGGGATCTTGTATAATTAAATCTGTATTCGTTATCTTTGTTTATGGCGGCACAAAGGGAACCATACGAGAGCTTAGAGGGTATTAGACCCTCGGACGGACTATTCTCGCAAACTCCACGCCGGACTGAAATATACCGACTTGGCGATCTAATTATAAAGTTTCCATAGAGATGCGTGTTAGGGCTTTAAAATGTTAATTGGGCATTACGTGAGTTCCCTTTTTGATTTAATGACGTTTGATTGAGTTTTGGGCGCCGCTTATCGCGAGACTGGCTAGGCGTTTGTCGGGATAAGAATATATGAGTGAGTAGGGTTTAAATCTAGCAGACATTATTTTATCGTAGATGTTATAAAAATTGTCACATTGTAGATAATGTCATGTACAGTGAAAGAATGTACATATGCAGTTAATTAGTTTATGAAGAAGAGTTGGTGTCTTCGTTTGCCGTGCCGCATTTTCTTTGCCCTTCGCGTAACGAAAAAGTCGATAGCGACGTAATCGTATTAACCGATGCGAGATACTTGTAGTGGCGCCACCTATCTAGTTTTAAGCTAATTACAAGTCGTCATTCATTACCATAACTCGACTGTCGGGCTAATTTTATTATCGCAGTTAGTGCCGCAGTGTACGGAGCTCACTGAGGATTTTCCCTTGATTCATTTTCTGTACCGTCAACTGGAAAAAGTTTCCGAAACGGATATTTCACGGCAACGACGAGCCGAACTTTCGTCATATTTAAGATTCTTCCGAGTAGGGGGGGAGGGGGAGGATCGATGTGTATGCCAGCAATGTGTACACCACGCGAGGAGAGTATAAAAATTCTTGCGACATATTTGTCAGTGAATACTTTGTCGCGAAAATAAGCTGCATATTTTTCTTACTGCGCTGGAACTATTGGGGTTCTGGAAACAGTTTCTGGTGTCTCGAATAAAAATAATTGGAAATGCTGGTTGTAAATGTCATCCTCAGGTTAACTTTCTTCTCTTCGCCAATTAAAAAAATTGTATGTAATAATCAGAACTATTGCACAGGGTGGTTTTGAAAGATGTGGCTCACTAAACTTGCGATTCTTCGTAAGAAAATATGTTTCACACATCCTTACAGGGAAATTTGGAATTGATATTTAAAAATATGCAGAAATTTGCGCTCCGAGGCGGAAGGAATTGAAAATAATGCAATTTAAACAGTAATTATACTGGGCCGCGTGCAATAGGGTGCATCCAATAATTTAAATTACAATTTCATGACGCGCATATAAAGTTGGGCGGCGGAGCGCTGTTATTTTAAATGTGATGAAATTCGAAAAATACTCGTTCATTAAAACAATATTTACATAGTATTAATTTTGTATAAATTTACATGCTGTTATCTTTATTTGCATGGGTTCGCAATTTTATGAATTTCATGAAAATTCATCAGTGTCTGCCCCGGTCTCTTCAAGTGTGCCGCGGAATAGATTCCTCATTAATCAGAAATTAATATACCTATAATTTGTATAATTAAGGGTTTCCGTTTTCCGCCAAACGATTTAATTTCTTTATTGGAAAACCGGAGTGGTTATTAACCGTGTAATCATGACTTCGAGGGCGAATAGATTTATTTGTAATTTTAAATCACAACAGGCAGCAAGTTTAAGTCAATATTGCCCGCTTCATCTTCGTTCTCTTTGGATATTCGTTAACAAAGTTCTGCAATTTTACCGCTTATTTTTACCCCCCTTCTCTTTATTAAAGCTCACAGACTGATGAACAGCATAGCACAACATTTGTTTTTAATAAAATCGTAAATCAAAATGTTTAATACCACTATACAGGGTGTAAGTCTGTCAGTGGCGGCACGTTATATGTAGCAACTGAGGCCGGGACTCGCTGTAAAATTTGACTCTCACACCGTATATTTTAATACCTACTATTCTACTATTAACCTAAATAAACAGTTACACAAATTAATTTCCTATTACATTTATCAAATATCAAAATAACAGTATAAAATAATTGTTTGAATATTAAATATTTCGCTCGTCGTTTTCATGGGCACGACATTGGATACTGTTACTCCCCAGTAGTCCCCACCGCAGTGAGGCCAGGATTTATTTGCTTGTAAGTGCCTACAATATGCTACAGTTCCCCCTCCATGCGAGGCGGTTAAAATAAAGTGAGGGAACGAGGGAATTGAGGCCCGCTCAAAGCTGCTTATAACGAGCGTTCAAATAAAAACGTGGTCGAAGTTGGCTCTGACACATTGGACGTAGGGAGTAGCTTATAGCGACCAACTTAACCTCATTTCTCAACGAGCTGTATAGCAGCTGTCAGTTTCAATAACGTAAATTACTATATAACTTTATTTTAAAGAATAATCGTGATAACAATAACAAACAATTAAAGGAGCTGCGGAAAGTGTCCCCCTCCTTGTTATAACAATAAATTAAAGCAGCTGCTGAAAGTGTCCCCCTCCTTGTTCCAAGCACTTTTCACACCTGTTCCTCAAAGAATTAAAGACATTTTCTAAGATGCTCGGGGTATTGTTAATTTCACGAATCTTGTCTATAAGTCGAGCCTGCAGATGGTTTAAATCAGGAATAGGCAGTTCAAAAATAGTGTTTTTTAAGGTAAGGCCACAAAAAGAAATCACACGGCGTAATATCACATGACCTCGTTGGAAATTCATGTTCAGCATTGAGACTTATTAGTCGATTTTGGAAAACTTCCCTCAACATATTCATCGTCTCGCCTGCCGTATGTGCCCTTGCGCCATCTTGTTGAAAGTAAAAGTTTGTAATTTCGTTTTCTTCCAGCTGGTTAATAAAAGGAGCGATAATTTCTTCTCTATACCTTTGCGCAGTAAAAGTACCATTAAAAAAAAATAGGTCCATAAATCCTCCTTCGATTGAGAGCACACCAAACTCCAATTTTTTGAGCGTGTAGAGGGCCCTCGACAAAAAAGTTATCTAGTTTTTCAGAAGACCACATTCTCATATTCTGTGAGTTTACGTAACCACTTAAATGAAACCAGGCTTCATCAGAAAAAAATGTGATATTATGAAGTTCACCGTAGTTGTTTAAAAACCATTCACAAAATACATCCCGTCGCGGAAAATCAACTTCATGAAGTTCTTGCTGACAAGTTAAACGATAGGAGAACAAACGCAAATCTTTTTTAAACACTGTGTGGCAGGTACCGACTGAGACTCCCACCATTTGTGACAAAACACGTACAGAAGTTCTTGGCGCATTTTCCATTATTTGTTGGACATTTTCTTTTAATTCTTCAGTCCGCTTTTTAGGTCGGCCGCTTCCTTCTTTTCTTGTTACACTGCCCGTTTCACGAAAAACATTAACACAACGCTGAACTGCACTTTGAAAAATTTTGTACTCAACAACGCCGGGAAATTGATTTTAAAATTCTATGAAATATTCCTCAATAGAATACTTCCATATTCCATCAATCTTGCGTCCATTTCTAAACTAGGACTCTATGATAAACACTTTTTGTTCTTGAGAAAACACCACTTTAAACGCTTTTTAAAATGACAGATGACGTTTAAGTTCATTTGCTATACGCTACGCCCTACGTCCAAATTTTCAGAACCAACTTGACCACGTTTTTATTTGAACGCTCGTTAGTTTCAGTTCGCGGTTAATGCACGCGTCGCATAGTACGCGGATAGTGTCTACTGTCAGTGTAAGGAATAGTAATTTTTGCCTGCGCCGCTGTTTTTTCTGGTCCACCTAGTGAAAAAGCCATAAAAAACATTCAAATTCACAGTTAAATGTACCGTCTCCAAATATGGAACAACAACCCTTCGCTTCGTCACTGTTAACCCGCACTGTCTCCCTCCACATGCACTGCAGGTTGCCTGCAATTCATGTATTTGTGATAGATTAATATTACAGTGGCGGCGTACACTAGTATTAAAGTGCATTTTAAAAAACTAGTTATAATTATTTATTTCAATAAAAAAATTTCAGATTCGTATTCACTTTTGACTCTGTATATACGATGATAACAAAACAAACGCCGTTCTTTTCTTAACAATTTAGCCATACGAATTCTCGTCGTTTCAGAGGTGAACGAAGAATCGCCACCAGAACCAGCACCTCCAGAAGTCCCACCTAGAGGTCCTTCCCTACATTCAGCCACCTTACGCCGCCGAACTGAATACTCTTTACCGCCGAGCGATGCCAACTCGACGAACCACGATTCGCAGTATTTGGGACAAGGTGAGTTGAATTTGTTATTAGAGAAGTAACCCCCATCGTGGAAAATTATACAATTGCTGGCTTTTAGTCCGGTCCTTAAGCACGATCAAACCCGGAGTTATTAGACATTGCAGGAAATCATTCCAGTTCATCTGATGGCAAACCGAGTCCGTTTTATATTGCTTTCTAATAATACATTGTCATCGGCAGTACCTCCTCGAATATTATAAGTTGTGGACTATATTAATATCAGCGGAAGCTACAAATCAAGCTTACAATGGCTTAGGCTAAGAGCCACGGAAGCCTCACGAGATTATTAGTTCAGTTCACAGTGAAAGGGTGGTCACCGGGACCGCCATTTATAAAGTGGACAACTAAAATTAAACCACTGTCCCACGCAGCGATATTGTCCACGTCTAGAGTTAACAGTGTGTGAAATTTTTAGTTCGTCTATCGCCTGACAGATGGCGCCGCACCAATTAGCAGTTGCCACAATCGCGGTGGCCTTATGCGATAATGTTTTGCGTCACAATTGACATTCGAATACCACCAGGTTAATTGTTATGGAAAGTTTTTAAAATGAATGTAACTATTCAAGAGGTTTCTTCTATGGTAGCGACTTATAAAGCGCCATCTACTGTGCGGCATCTGTAACTGTAATAATAAAACTACGTCCGGTACATTTTGGAGATATCGATCGATATTAACGGCCTTAAAACTTGCAAGGGTGTCTTTAACTGGTTTATACCGAGGGCATGGATTTCGGCTACGGTTTAGCGGACCCTTCTGAAAAAAAAACGCATCTTCTTACACTTCCGTGAGCTTTATATAACCAGGCAATCGCCTGGAAAAATTAATTATGTAAGAATTTGAAGGGATTATAAAAGTTATTTGGCGATTTTAAGGAGGAAAGTGGAGGATCCATTTAAACTTGAATCGCAAAGAGTGTATAACGACTTCAGATTCCTGGATGGGGTTAATAAAGACGGTTTAATATCATGATAACATTATTTTGGTTACGTTGTACTGTTTATGCAGTAAAATAGCGTATATATCAAGCAAGATATATTTTTAATACAACGGGGTTCAATTTAAGTGATCTGTCGTCTCTGTGGTCACTTAAGATCAGTTGAAAGGAAAGCCGCTGACAGTTTTAACCTCAATTTCAATAGGTTTGTTTCTGCTACTAAATTCGCAGAATACAATGGCTTGAGTTTACAATTACATATTTCCATACGCATGGAAGGTATAAAATAGCTTCTTTATCACTCTGGTATTAAATATGCGACCAGGGCAGCCTCTTCCTGTGGCCCTCCCTGTAGGTTCCTCTGTGATGAATACTAATTCGACGTCCCAGCAAAGGTTGTAAACTTTATTACCACTTAGCGGGGCATTAGTAGTGATTGCGAATCTTGTCGTGTACACCTCGCTGTAGTGATTAGTTTGGCCGTACGTCAGGAAGGGGAGAGGTAAAAAAAGAGCAGGCCAGATTGGAGCTGCTGCGTCCATCCCTACTTCTTCCGGGTATGTATTTTTAATCGTCGGTCTGTTTTACGGGAAGGAGGACGTCGAAATATTTCGAGTAGATCCCCGCAGCGTCGGTCGCTCGACTTTAATCAGAACTGAGTCTTTTTACTGGACCATAAAAAAATAGTAAAAGCTTATAAGTAATTAGGTAAAAGTGAATACTCGATTTCATGTGCGTAATTCGTCACTAGGTCTATGTAGTATAGTCTTTCCGAAGTTAGTTGAACATGTAAAAAACGCCTAGCAATAAAATTTAGTTAGTTTCATAGGCGTCCCTAAAAAGTTTTCTTCCAAAGTTAAAAAATTATAACAATTTGTATATAATGTATAGAAAATGTCTGTCCTCAAACAATTTTATTATGTTGATGGTAAATTTCGTTTTATTCCGTTTCAAAAGGTCTTCAAAATGCCATGTTGCAATAATATTAGTTAACAAAATATCCCTCTTATTTCTCTCTTTCGCAATTGTGAAGGTGCCTGTAATAAATTGAAATTACCTGAATCACACCAAATTCTGCATTACTGCACTGCACTGCTAGGCCATTTGTTGACAACTGAATTTATGGCCAGGTCGCCCTGTGCAGCTGTGTTTGTGCCGCGTTTGTCCGCGCGCTCATTCTTCAACTGGACGAGCAGACCTGTATGGGTATGGCAAAATATATATGGGAACAAGTTTTTCAAATATTTCAATGCCGATTAGTAGACATTTTATTGCAGTTTATGACGGGAAAGGGTATGTAGAATTATAATATCAAAAAAGTAACTTGAAAGAAGTGGCGCTAAGTTGGCAAATTACAATTCAGTGGCAAAATTACGGTTTTTTTCACTTTTTTTACTGCCCATGAAAATCTAGACGACCTATGGGAAAATTAGTTATTTTTTATTATAGGTAATTAAATTACCTGCAATTTAAGGTACCCAAAGCCATTTTCCAACTATTTGTTAACTGAATAATAAAGGTCAAACGCGGAAAAATCAGTTTTCAGAAATTGCTCATTATTATTGCAAAAAAACGATCAATGTTGATGAAATTTATAAAAAAGACAGTCAATCTAATGACCAACAACTCTACCAAAGGCCGAATCGATTGACCTAGAAATTGTTGTTCTAGGTATTTGTTAATTAATTTCGTTCATTTTTTTAAACTAATTGTTTAATTACTAAACGTTAATTTTAGAAGTTAATATCGTAGATATAGGTTCTAATTGATCCAAAGAAACGTATGGAAAATGTTGAGATTAATTGCTCTTTACAATTAACAAATTAGGATGTGCAAAATAAACAAATTGTCCTAGGGTCAGGAAAAAGCCGCTCGCGAATTCGCTCTTTTTGCATTAAATGGAGCTTATTTTTGCGGTCATTAAATAAAATGTTCCCTAGATAGCGTTTCTTTATAACGTTGTTTAATTAAAAATTGGACATTCGTATCGGATCGGGAGTTTTGCAACAATTAAAGAAAGGGTTAAACTTTTATTTTCAGAAAGTTTTACATTTGATAGTACATGTAATAAACGCGCTAGCGCTAGCAGCAGTCAAAGTTAACGTTAAAAAGAGGCCTGCACGCGTAAGGAGCGCTGGGTGCGCGCATGCGCGTGAACGCCACTTTTGGTTCGGGCAAGATTTTTGACTTGACCGTTTCAAATTCGGTTCGGTGTGTATATCTCGAGAACCGTTCGATCAATTTTGATGATTTTTTTTTTGTTTTAACTGTCTCGTTGAGACGAATATAATGCTCTCCTAAAATGTATACATTGTCGGTATTATTCCGTCGCAAATTAAACATTAAATATTTATAAATTAAAAATATTCATATAACTTATACTTCTAATTGAATAATACTTATAAATATAATATTTTTTATCATATTCAATTTTTTTCTGTATGTTTTAAAAATTTCAAAGGAATAAGGAGGCTTCTTTCGAGGTACCTTTTGATATTACCATTCTATATACACTTCTCCGTGCAATAAAATATCTACTAATTTTTTTTAATTTTCATGTTTTATGATCGAATTAGACTGGAGTATAAAACTTTGAAAATTTTTAGTGAATATTACGAGTAGTGGCATTTATTATTTACAAAAAATACTAAAAACGATAATAGATGTTACTTGTAACAGCAATAATTCGTGAAATATTCAGTTGCCGTGGCTACAACTACACAAACTACTCAAAAATTCATTAATCCGAAATAATGCCTATCCGGCGACACATTCGCCTAACCCGCACCGGCTAATGAAACTTATTGATTTAATTCGTGGTAAACATTACCAGTCATTACTTGAATGCCCCTCTCAGTCAGTGGGCGCATTGACATGTGTCACAAGTTTTATTAATGACAAACCCAAATAATGGGGTACCTACTAATTAAAATAATGGGAGCGGGTTAGGAGACGGCGGCGGCGGCGGCGGCATCAATGTGGCGCAATTTATCAATTCCAAACTTGGATTATTAAATTTTAAGGCGGATATGGTCTTTTAGAATTTAGTTTCACCCGGTTGGTTAAAGGTATTCATGTCGGGGTTGGCTTCGAATTAGGAAGTAATTATTTAAGACTGTATCAAATTCGATACAACCCCTGCCTTCGTCAGAGTGACAGGGGAATAAATGTCTGCAGCAAAAGGTACTGAAAGTCGGTATGAAACGCGAGCGTTAAGAATACGGTATTAAAAAAATCCAAATTTATTTTTAAAATTAAAAAAAAAATACAATAAAAAGGATTAAATCTTTACTGGAATTTCTCATCCAAACTGTAGCTTCAGCCAATTTGATTCGTCAAATATTTTTTTAGTATTACTGTGGTTTTCCTAGCGGTCTTATTACTGTGGTTTATTGTTTTCATCAGTTCTACAAATATTCAAAATGACCTATGTACGAGTAGGTATATAGAAATGCAGAATTTCTTCCAAACAAACTGGTCACATGGCTTATCATTTCTGCACATCAAATATATATTTTTTATTATTATGAATCAGGTTGTATCTAAGGACTTCATTTTTCCGACACCACAAATCTGACGAGTTTTTACAACAATCTCACTTGTGAATAACAAACCTATTGGCTTTTTTTCTCACTGTCCTCCATCCGCGGCGATTTTTTTACGTAAAGGCGTAGCATAAAAATGTGCAGGCCATAGCCGGCTTAAGTTTTGCATACAATCGATGAGTGACGACGTGTGCTTTACGGATTACGCTAAAGCGAAGGAAAACTGACGGCAGTTCAGAACTTCCACAAAGTGCTTTACTTGGTATAACCCAGCGATTCATCATATTTTGTATATCGCGCTGATAGTACGGAAGGGTGTTCCTGAGAAAAATGCAGAATAAACGGATTTTGATACTTTAGATATACAGCCCTCCCTATGTTATTTCTCCTTACAAGATGCTAAACACAATAGACGCTATAAATAACTGTAAAACTAAACCAGTTGTCAAAATGTTAAGCCACTTCTAGCACTAAAGCAGTGCCAATGTCAAATTTAAAACTGAAAATTT